TGTTAGGAATAACATAGGTTACCTAACGTAGTTTGGGTAAAATAATATATATAAACTATGATTGTAAGTTTAAGTGTGTGTCACTTTAAACTGCAAAGCATGTAATTTTTGGGTGCGGTGTTGAACCACCATAAGAGGGAGCAAGAGAACCTGCTCATTTGCTGACGATTCCTGATGATTGACTGGTTTGATGGGTTGATGGTTTGTTAACTGCATGTTTCCCCTACTGCTGAGTTGCTGAAGGAAGAGAGGAGTTTTGACTTCTTCATATCTCTACTGCAAGAAGATATATTACTGGACTGATATTTGTAAGTTTACTGAGCTCTCTTTTTCGACACTGGAATTTGCAACTGAATAATCCCTGGATGGACTGAATTAGTGAATGATATATGGACTGTTTGACTATGCTATAACTCTTACTGGAATAAACTATTTAACTAGCACTGTGTATCTGTTTTACTGAGTGTAAGCTACAAAAACGTTTATCTCACATATTTTGCCTGCCTGCCTGACTGCCGTGCAGATTCTGCTAGGGTGTATCCCTAACAATGTCTCTTGTCTTTTGCATCATTCTATGGGAGGTTATTCTGAAATGTTATCTGTAATGTTTTCAGCTTTACAAGTTTGTTTCCTCCAACTCTGTTTTCACATGCAATTCTTACAAGTTATTTTTGCATTCCTTCCTCCTTTTTAAACAAAGTAATGGTTAAGGTGCTGGCCTAGAAACCAAGAGAATCTGAGTTCTAGTCCCATTTTAGGCTTGGAAAAAATGGATGAGTGACCAGTCATTCTCTCCCAGACCAAACCACTTGTTAGATTGTGGTTGTATGGAAACTAAGAGAGGAAGGAATATTAGATAAGTTCTCCATCTTGAGACCCTTATAAAGTAATAAAGACAGGATAAACATCTAACACTTCCTATAAGATGCACTCCCCACCGCCAAAAAAGTGGGTGGAAATGACTGTGTCTTATGGAGTGAATATTGTCTATCACCGCCACTGCCTATCACCGCCACCTATTACTGGTTGGATCAGCCTCCTGGAATACTGCTGATCAGCTGTTCCAGATGGCGGGGGTTGCTGCCACCTATTGCCGCTACCTGTTGCCACCACTGCCATTCATTGGTGGCAGCAAGCAGCTGAAAGCAGCAGCATGGGGCAGCGGCAATCCCCAGCACCTGGAACAGCTGATCAGTGGTATTCTGGGAGGCCGATCCAACCATCAATAGGCAGCACTGGTGAGCGGCAGTGACAGGAAGCTGTGGTGATAGGCGGTGGTGGCAAATGGCAGTGGTGGTGAGTGACAGTGATAGGCAGTGGCAGCGAATGGCAGCAAGCAGCAGTGGCAATAGGCAGCAGTGGCAAGCAGTAGCAATAGGTGACAGTGATAGCTGGGGAACATTGGCAAAGGCTCCAGAGACAGCAGACATAGAGGAGGCACCAATAGCACCATTTTTGGTCGGCCAGCCCGCTGATTAGTGGGACTACAGGAGGCCGGGATCCAGCTGTTGCTCAGCTGACCAATGGTGAACACAATGGAACAGAGCCCCAATGAGCCACATGCTGGGGCTGGGAGGCAGAGGCAGATTTTTTGTTTTCTTCCCAAAAATCTATGTGTGTCTCATGGTTCAGAGCATCTTAGAGTGCAAAAAAATACAGTAAATTATTTGTGAGAATTATGTCCTTCTAAAGAAGGAGGGATGCTAACTACCTTGTCACATGCCTTATACTACTGCATTTATTTCATTTTTATCCGCTTTATTTTTCTCTACTATTTGGTTTATTCTTCAATGATAGCTTACCTTGTGAAATTCTTACCTGTTTCATATGCCAGGGTTATGTGGGAAAACATCAGGTAAACACATCCATGTGACTGACAGGCAATGGCAGCAGAAATCACTAAGCAGCTACAGTAAGACAGAAAGGTGGAGGCACCAGGGTGCAAAAAGCAGAGGATCTCAGGGAAAATACAGCTGAGACATCCACCTTTCATCAAATTTGCACAGCCTAGTCAACTACAGAAAGGTAGGAAAGTCACCCATGCCTTTTTAATGTGCTCTTTCCATTGGAAATTTTGAGATTGTTTCAAACTGACAGTGCAAAAATTGCCCCAGCTCTACAGAACTGGTGATCTTTTTAATGATCTTTCACTTTTTATCAAGAGAAGTTCAATTTAAAGTTAAATCCTGACAGGATTTAAAAAGCAAATTCAACCATGCCATTTTTTCTGTTTAATCAATTAAACATCTCCCCAACTCACAAGAAAATAGAACTCACAACTCATAATAAAATAGCACATTAAAATAGCACTGTTCCAATATTTGAGGGGCTCCTACAAAAATGAGGGGGTCCATCTATTTTCCAGAGCACCAGGGGGCACAACAAGAAACAATGGATGGAAACTAACCAAAGAGAGAGGCAACCTAGGACTAAGGAGAAATTTCCTAAGGGTCAGACCAATACAACCAATGGATTAGCTTGCCTTCAAAGGCTGTGGGTTGCTCCATCACTAGAGGCTTTCAAAAGGAGATGGGACAACTATTTGTCTGAAATGATATAGGGTCTCCTGCTTGAGCAGGAAGTTGGACTAGAAGACCTCTGAGGTCCTATTATTCTATGTTCTCTATGTTCTAATTGGGTGCTTCACAGCTGAAGCAATACAGATGGCTGGACTACACCAAGCGTTAAATTCACACCCTGTATGATCAAGCTGCATCATTGTCCCCTCCTGTATCTTTTTCCCCCAGGAAAAAACAAGAAGTAGTAGCAGCTATCAAAGGTCTTGGGGAACTCCAGGGAGTATTAGCTGATCACAGAAGTGTTACTTAATAATTTTTATACTGAAAATATTTGTAATCTTGTCCTTCTTCCTGAAGGGAAGAGCTTAATCCCATCCCTAGATGGATCACTGATGGGTTTCCTGGGTGTTTTTCCTGCCCAAATCCTGTCAGTTTCTGTTGTTTATTGACTTTATTGAAAGCGTGTGTTGGCTGTTATCACAACTAAGTAACCTGTTCAGTTTTATTTTATTTTTATTTTTTTAAATTTTAAAACAAACTTTATTGAATACAAAAAATTAAAATATACAAACTCAAAAGACAAAGATCCATACAGACAAATGTCACAATAATCTCTGTGTTAAAACTAATTAAACTTTCATTTAATACATTTGACAGTGAGTTAAATATTTCCTAAATTATATTATGTGGCCGTTATTTCTTGCTTCCTATAGGTTCTCTGTTATTTATGTTCTATCAAACATAATGTTCTGTTATTAATGTTTGTTGTTGGATTATACTTATTTATTTTTACCGATGAATTCCTTCTATTGATTGTTTAAAAAACGAGAGGGTCTACGACTAACATTAACAATTCCTGTTTGTTATTGTACGTATCATAATCTGTTTCATAAATTTGTTTTCCCCCCTTGATTCCCCTTTTCATTTTTTTTAATGTTATAGCCAATCGTACCACTTATTCCAGATCGAGTAAATTCCACCTCCTCTTTTCCTTTTCATTTTAATGTGAGTTTTTCAATTTCTGCACATTCACACATTTTTTGAATAATAAATTGTATTGGTGGTATACTAGGTGATCTCCAGAATTGTGCTAATGAAATACGTGCCGCTATTAGGATATGGATAATCAAATATTTTACTTTGGAGGGATAACTTTCCTTAATGATACCCAGAAGATACAATTTAGGTTCCCACTCCAATTCACCCTGGACAATCTTTCTAACCAAGTTTTAATTCTACTCCAAAACTTTTTGACCACTGGGCATGTTCACCAGAGATGGAAGTAGGTACCATGATTCCCTTTGCATTTCCAACAAGTTGGATTGGATGTTCGATATATTTTTGCTAATCTGGAGGGTGCTAGGTGCCATCTACATGTCATTTTATATAAGTTCTCTTCATAAGACACAGATTTAGTTATTGCAAGATTTCTCTGCCAGATTTCTTCCCTGTCTTCTAAATCTATATTATGGCCGAAATTTCTTGTCCACGCTATCATTGGTCCTTTCACAATTTCCTCACCTAATTCATATTCCAATAGATAATTATATAATTTAGCTATCATATTTTTATCTGGACCCAAAAGTATCTTATCAAATTTAGTGCTCTTTGATTCTATTCCAAATTCTTTTAATCTTTCTCATATCTTATTGCTATTTGGAAATAGGACCAATGTTCAATCATTATTGTTTGGTTTTCTAATTCTTGGGTCGATTTGAACTTTCCTTCTTTGTCTAAAATTTTGTGATATTTGAGCTTTTTACTGATGTCCATTGTATTAGGGTGGAACATTGCCTCCATTGTTGACAACCGTAACGGAACTTTAATATAATGGTTTTTCCTAATATCAGACCAGGTTTTTATCAAAGATTTGCATAAAGTATGTTTCTGAAAGTATGAGTGACTTTTACTACTCGGATTCCACAAGAAGGCATGCCACCCTATTTGTAAGTCGTAGCCTTCTAATGTTAGAATTCTTTTGTTTTCCAATTTAATCCAATCCTTTATCCACATTAACATTGCTGCTTTATAATAGGTCTCCCAGGCAGGGAGACCAAAGCCGCCTCTGCTTTTATTGTTTTGTAAATAAATTTTCTTAATTCTTGACTTCTTAGCTGCCCAAATGAATTTCATAGTAATTTTATCCAATTCTTTGAAAAACGATTTATCCAATAATATAGGAATTGTTTGGAATAAATAAAGTAATTTGGGTAGAACATTCATTTTAATTGTGGCACTAATAAAGAAACCTGCATTTTGCTCCATATCTCCAAATCTCTTCCTATTTGTTGTAATAGTTTTAACATAATTGTCTTCTTTCAAAATTATTGTTTTGGGTCAACCATATACCTAAATATTTAATCTTGTTGACAATTTATAGTCTCATTATTTCTTCTAGTTCTTTTTGTTTATTAT